CATTTTATGCTTTTTATCACTATTATAAACAGGGTGCCATATACTGCTATAGTTTCAAATAGTGAAATCTTGACTGATTTCTGCCTATAAAGTATTTCACAAAATATTAAATACAACGATATCCAGCTGCACATAAGTTATTATACCATTTACATTTCTTCTAAATCCTTTAGTGAGAGTATTAATTTCTCGTTAATTTCGGAATTTCAATCTTCCACTCCTACGATGAATAAACAGTGCCATATAAATCGGTAGATAATCTTCAAAGGTTTGTCATACCAACACATCTTTCATGGACGAATTATATAAACATGTTAATAACAACTTTAGTAAAGAAAAACTGTTATGAGCAAAATAACAAGTGTTTCTCGTGCCGATTATTTTCTGAAACACTCGAGCGCCATCTTGAAATTTGAGTTCGGGGGGGGTGAATGCCTCTCTTTAGCGCACTGGCTAAGCTTTTGGCGGCTGGTTACACTTTTTTGGCTGAGTTCCACCTCTGTGTAGTATATCCTCTGTGGTTTAACTCGCTAACCACCGTTTAACTCGCTATCCGCCGGATAAAACTTAAACGCTCGAGAAATCGCGTTGTATCAAGCCCGTTTAGGGCTATCCACCGGTTAAATTTTGCCTATCCACCGTGTAAACTTATACGGTCTCTTGAGACCGTTTAAATCGCTAAACGGCTGATAAACTCGGAGTTTGAAGATAAATCAATGATTATTTCGAATGAAAAAGCATGGGATAGTTATAAAAATGCACAATCATGTAGAGGAGTTATCTTTTTAAATCCAATAAACATGAAAAACTGGCTTGGTCTTGAGGTACACTGAGGTCACTTGCTCACTTGTAATTCCGTGGTTTTGCTATTTACGCCGCACACCAGTGTCATGTTTAGATGTTAAGTATATATACTCTGGCTTTTTCTCCTTCTTTTCTTCTATTATATAGTTTGAAAACAAGCAGTAAGACTCCTAATTTTAGCTATTGTAAAACAAACAATGACTTTGGAAAGCCAACAAGTATACAAAATAGACAACAAGACGCCGAAAGTCGAAAAAAAATGTTCGCTCGCGTTAATCGCTTTGATCAGCCAATCAAAAATTAGGACAAAATGTTCTTAAAATTGTTTTGAACAAAAGTGCAAGGTCGAGGAACAAATTTCAAACAGTATAAAACTGAATCAACTGACAAAAGGTCACAAAAGCCAAATACAACTCACAGTTTTTGCTATTGCCTTCGACTCTTCGCATAAAGAAGCCAAAAATCTTTAAAGAAATATCCGTAAGTGAATTTAAGTGAATGAGAAACTCAGCACAATGTGAAAATGAAAAGTTTGATATAGATTTGCAGCAACGAATGGACGAGCAAACTCCAAATAAAAACAACAACAAACTTTATTGCAAAAGCTTAGTGGAATTCACAAATTTATAGATAAAGCTTCAAAAGTTTACAAAGGCCTAGCAACAGCTGACGTAGAGGTAAGAAATTTTAAAGAAAATCCGGTTTTCTCCGGTTAAATTAAAGGTTATCCTACGGATAGTTAAACGCGGTACTAAACGGGCTTCGTACAACGCAATTTTATCGGCCGTTTAACTATCCGCTGGATAAGAAATTTATACGCTGGATAGCGGCTAAACACCGTTTAAGTTAAACGCCTTTGATACAACCGGCCCCTGTCATCTTAAATTTATATAGATAACTCCATTTACAAAAGCACAAAGACCACGGGCTACAACATGTTCCGTGTTGACCATTGACCATAATGTACTGTATTGTTTAAAGCTTCAAGTTTTTAACACAAGCAAAAGCTGTCACTCCAAAGTCCTGGCAACAAATATGTCAATTTAACAAAACGACAACGTGTGCGATGATTTCATTTAGCCAATTCTTTCATGGTTATAATGAATATACTCGTACTGTAGATCGATAAAAAGTCATTCATAAATACCATGCCATTTTGTAGGTATATACCCAACGTCCCAATACTTTTTCATACGATTAATATCATATCCTTCGATTTATATCGTTTGATTTCGCATTCCAAATCTGATAAACATTGATAATTCTCTCTTCGCGTATGTCCACGCGTAATTCTCGCAAAAAACACGCATTAATTGTGTCGGCAGCATTGATGATCACGGCAGCCAATCAAATAACGATTTCGATTCGATTTCCCCAGAGTCATGCCACTACCTAACCCGCGAACAGGCATACTCTGGGAACGAGATTGTGTTATTCTTTCAAAAATATCTTGATATTTTTATCAATTTATCCTGAATTGAAGTTATTTATCAACATGGAATCTTATCCTCATCTGGTAAGTAGTCAAATACCACATATTATATATTTAAGAGCGAGTCTCAACAAAAATCAAACATACCGCGGCAAGGCTCAAAATTTTAAATTCGCTCTACTTTTGAATTTAAGTTAACTATGACAAAGTATAAAACGTCGTATGGTTAGTTTTTAAAAATACTGTTTTGTTTAGGAAAAAAAGGCAAAATAATGTTTCAACTGTGAGGACCGATTTTCACAATCGAAAAATGGCCGAAACTGCGTATGTTTACTTAATCCTGGTATCCAAACCCTAAATCCAAATAGCCTTGTTATACTTTCTACTAAAGGTACATAACTCCCTCGTTTACTATTAGTGGTTTTATGATAATTAAGACAACTGAACACATTTGTGCCAATAAAGAGCGACAGGTACTGATCTTTATTGTTCACGCTGGGCACGAATGGCGCCAAAAATGCCTGGCATTTTCGTGACGTTCCGCCATCTTGGCCGCGCCATGTTTTTGGGAGAATAGGTACGAAATAGCGATCATGCTCGATAGCAATGTTTTGGCCGTTCGTAAGACGATCGGTTTGATTCGTTTATGTTTCGGTGTGTGCCGCCGTAAAGCGTCTTTCTCAACGTTCATTTTGATATCCAGCATGGCGGCATTGCTCAGACGAGTGCCGTTGCTTTTGATCGATGAAAATCTACAAAATATAGGCAATAATGCGTTCCTGATATAAACGGCATTTTCTGCCTTGTTTTATTTTTGACATAGTTTATTGATTTGCATCGAATCTTCGTGGAGAGATGGTTCAATACCAATATTTTGTCGCCTTCTTTTTTGTTTATTGATATTTGAATGCCAACGTGTGATTTGAGAGACTTTTACTTGGCATATGAACTACGCACGGGATGCCACATTTTAAAGTTGGGGAATATATGAAAAAGTGCAAAGAAGTGCGCAATGCGGGTTTCATGACAAAGAGAAACCTTAGAGACGCTCAAGCAGAAGTTTCTCAGTTAGAAATGGAGCTACAGAGGAAAGATAAACTATTACGAGGTTTACAAGAACGAAAGAGACGCATGGATGCCAAGGTATGGACTTCATTAGTATATTCTTGTTTACTTGTTGTATAGTTTTAAAGGGCATTATAATATGCAACATGAGCAGTCGTAATGTATAATTTTATAGGTACAGTCACAGAGCATTTATATTTACAGGTTTTTTCTGCAGATGATATGTTGTGTATTGAATATACAGCTTATTTTTATTACTTATATGTACTGTAGATTTCCAATTTGGAAGATGAGGTTGATAGCTTGCCAGAGAAGTCCAGGTTTACCCAGTGTAGCATTCTATCAGATAGAGCAGTGGAGAGTAGAAAGAAACATCCTACAAGGTTTCAAAATAAGAAATTCTCATCTAGTTTATCTGTACAGAGACAGAGAAGAAAAGAAACATTTGCTGCAGCTCAAAAAATTCATGGTGGAAGTGAAGAAACAGAAGTACCGGGAGCAATAGGGATTGTGGACACAGCATTGGTTAAGTGTAGTCAGAGTATTTTAGTAGATGTAATGTCGGTTAATCAAAAGTTTAATCAATCAGTTATGCCTAGTATTTACAAGCCTAAGTTAGGAGAATTTGAGGCTTCCACTGAAAACATGATTCGCAGCGTTTCAGTATATTATAGCGGTGGTGTAGCCGGAAAAAAAAAGTATAGAAAAATATACAAAGATTCCAGCTACAAGATTGCTATGCAAAGTAAGGGTAAAAAACGTGTTCGGCTATCCGTCAATAATTGTCCCATCCCTAGGCTTGTGCCATATAACAAATTAATGCCTTTTATCAAGTCTATACCAGTAGGATCTATATATAGTGTATATGAAACACTTTGTGAAGGTCTTGATGAGGAATACAAAGTACATGGTTGTTATAGGAATTTGGCAGAATTGTTCATAAAGTTGGCAGAATTTTATTTAAGCGGTTGTAGTGGTCACACACTTGTGTGGTTTGAGGAAGAATACAAGTTTTATGTTTCCCTGGGTGGTGATGGGGCGCCTTTTGGGAAACATGATACTGCATGTGCGTGGTTGGTTGGATTTTTGAATATTGGCCGAGGAATTTTGAGTAGCAATGAAAACTTTTTGTTATTCGGTGCTAATTGTTCAGAAAATTGCATTCCAGTTCAACGTTATATTAAGATGCTAGTGTCTGATGTACAACACCTTGAACAGCAAACTTTTAAATGCACATACATTACATCAGAAAGCCAGACATGTACAGTTGATATCAAATTTCATATCTCGGAATTCCCTAACGATTTGAAGATGGTTGCATTTTTGTGCGGTGAGTTGACTAATAGTGCCACATATTTTTGCTCATTTGCCAATGTTTCTAGCAAAGATGCCACTGATTTAAACGGCCAGTTTGGCAAGGAAAAAGACAAAAAATGGCATCCGTGGAATTATTCGGAAAGGGTACAAGTAGCCAAAAGTGTTGAAACGTTCAAGCAGACTGTCGCAAAGCAAAATATAGCAGAAAGTACTAAGCGATCCAAAGTAACTAATTTCATAGCCGGCAAAAGAAGTAGGCAAGAATTTAAACCACTCCTAGGCCCAGTGGTTGATAGGATCCATATTGATCCTTTGCACCTAAAAAATAATGCATGTGCACTAGCCCACAGGCTACTTCTACAAGAGGTATTACTGATTTCTCAATTACCCAGTGCAATAAAATCATTTTTGCAGGTTCCCAGCACTTCGCCATTTCACAAATATATTGATGCAATGAGAACTAAGTGCAATCTTAGAAGACTTGCAAACCAAATTATTAGGTGGTTCAATGAAAACCGAGATAGCAAGTTTGATTATAGATTCACCGGAAAAGATTCTCGGTGCTTTTTGCAGAACTTCATGTTTCTAATTGCTGCTATGGAACCATTTTTGAAAGATAAAACACTAAGGCATTGTTTACATTTCATGTACTTGCTTACTTGTGTTTAACCCTGCGGGATTGTGTTTCTGTGTTCAGTCGAATCGATGTAACCGATTCACAGTTAGATGATTTGGAGAAAAACTGTCGAACATATTTTGTCCTACATTATCTGTATTTTGACCA